AAAAAGCTGTCATAACATAAAACTCACTTTTAAAGTGTTCGAAGGCTGCTTATAAAAATACAAACATGATTTGAGAATTTATTAATTTCAGTGAAGAATATGAATACAGATATGACTTATCAAATTTCATGCTTGTTAATATATAATTAAGACCAGTTATGAATGTACTAATGTGGCTTAGAAATATTGTTATTGTATGTTGTGAAAAGATGAAATTGCATTTGAGAATGGATTATTTCCTACAATTTCAAAAAATGAGTTTTGAAAAGTTTCAATGTCACTTATGAATCTACTAAAGTAGCTTGAGAATTCATTGATGTCAATCAAGATAATTTACTAATGACATGTCAAATTTTATTCTTGTCAATATATAGTCAGATTTACTTGGAATTCACTAACATAACATAGGGATATTGATATTGTGTCTTGCTACTTGAGAATAAATTGTTTGTAGAAAATGACTTGCCCAAATTGAGATTTACTAACATGACATGGTAATTTACTAACATCAGTCAAGATAATTCACTAATGACTTGTCAAATTTCATGCTTGTCAGTATATAGTCAGACCCACTTGAAAAATAAAGTGACTTTACTATTGAAATGACTAACATGACATGAGAATATTGCTATCGTATATTGTAAAAATATGAAAGTTCACTTGAGAATATATTGTTTACAAATGTGACTTGGAAATTTACTCAATCAAGATAATTCACTAATGGCTTGTCTAATTTCTTGTACATTTAGCACAAAATACTTATGATTAATTGTTGTGTCATATATATTGAGCCATAAAAAATACTTAAGTACATAAAGTTTTAATTTACATTATACATATAATCAAAACATAACTTGTGAAAGTCTATATTATAGTTGTCTAATTCATGCTTTCAATCTTTTTAGTCCTTCATGCTCGGCATTTGAAATAGATATCATCACTTGTGAGGTTGCTCTATTACGTGGATGAGTCACTAGCTAATATAATAGCTCAATTGTAGTACTCCACAAGTAATACAAAGTAAGTAGAGTACCGTTGATTTGTATTAAAAATATGGTCAAACAAAAAGACATTGCAAATTCAATTAAGTTGAGCAAATCCAAAATGTGATTGGTGCTTAACATATAAATTAAATGAGTGAAAAAGTATGAAAACAAGGAAAAGAAATTGATTTAGGATTTTTTGAAAGTAATTAGGCCTAAGATTATTTTTCTCCTTTTATATTTCAAGAATACTCAATTAACCCCCAATATATTTTGCTCTTAACGATGAATTATACTTATCAGAGATATAAAATTACCCATAAGTGCTCTCTCAAATCTCCAAGTAGGTGTTTAGTTTAATTAATCCCTTAATCTCTTAATTACCTAATTAAACTCCAATTTTCATTGCAAATCCTATGTAACTATGTGAGTTTAATAAGTGTATCTCTACCTTATTAATAAAACCATCAATTCAACTTGTAAACTTTAAGTTTTTACATAATTTTACCCACATTCTACATTTAAACTAACTCTTTGAAGTATCATCTAAGTAAACCCAACATCTAAATGGTGGTCAAACACTTAAAAGCATTAAATATAGAGTAAAATCAACATAATCACATTGTTATTCACAAATACAAAGGGAAAATGAGTATCTAATCTATACAAAGGATTTAAAATAATTTAAGAATCAAGGGTTTGGCTATATGTGTTCATAAAACTCATAAGAAAATACAAATACATTAGCACAAAACATTGAACAAGAGGAAATAAAGGAGAATGGAGAAGAAGAACTAAGATATGAAGCTAAAATCTCTTCTAATATTCAAATCCAAGCTCAATCTCCATCAAAATCCGTGCCCTAATATACCTAAAGCTCTAAAATACTCTCAAAAAGTCCAGAATGTTAGCCAAAATTGATAATGAGTCATTTATAGTTCAAAGTTCTAACTTTATCAAATAAATAAAATGTTTTGTTTTGCTGTTGCATTGAAAGTTGTGACTTTGAGATGACTTTACTTTGTTTTGTATTGTTATGTCAATTAATGAAATTTATTCTCTTTTCACTTGACTCTTCATCCAAAAGCCTTCTGAAAGCATCACTAAGGGTCCAGAGGTACATTCAACCAAATCTTAAACCAAAATATCAATAAATTAGCTTCAAAATACCAAAATAGAGCTATAGTTTGAATTTTCAAAACAATGTGCACATTTTTTAACTTGAGTATTCAAAATATGTACAATTGTATCAAAATATATTTAAAATACAAGTAAAATGTGCTCAAATGACGTTAAATTTTAGAGGTTAATATCAATCCTCATTTTACTCAATTATTTCTATACAATTAGAGTAAGTCAGTTAATAAACAAAAAAGAAACAAAATTGTGACATATAGAAATTTTATTTGAAATTACTGTATACTTATAGGCTCAAAATTCAAGTGCTTCAAGAAAACGAGTCAATCACAAGAGCTACACGCACATTCACACTAATCTCAAAGCCTATAAAAAAGAAAAAAGAGATAAACTCATTTGAAGAACTGCTGAGAAAATGGGTACTAGGATCAAAACTGAAATCATCTCTAGAAATGCATCAAACCAACCACATCTAGACCATCGCACTTGAAACCTTTCAAACTCTCTCTTCTAGATTAGCTTGCCCTTAATACACTATTAGTATTTTCAATGCTAATATATGCATTTTTATCTCACTTGATAACCACTAAGAGGGAGAGGAGGATATAGGACATGGGAAAGAGGGATGGAGAGAATGGGAGAAGTGTAGCCATTAAATATTAAAATCTAGGGATGGTTTCAATTTAATACTAAAACATGGGAGGAGCAATATTGAATTTAGGAACTTTAGTATTGAAGAAATCTTAATTTCACATTAATTTTATTTTAAGGTCCTTACTTGTCATTCTCCTAATAATCTACATGTTTGGTAAAAAAGGGAGGGCATTAATCTACATGAATATCTTATTTACAGTGAGGATAGAAGACAATATATTAATGATTAATAATTAAAAAATTATTTTCTAATCAATTTACAATCAAATCACATTCTAATCATATCACAATCAACAAGTATTAAGAAGTAGGGAGGAGGAAAAGAAATTAAAAAATTTATGCTCCCAAATCCAAAATTAGAGTAGAGTCTGGGAAGGTGTAGCTTCTAATGCTAGGGAACTCATGAAAGTTTGGTTGTCAATGATGGCTCGGTCATTGACCCTCCACTAGAGTAAGATGAAGGAGTGAGGGGAAAGTATGCTAAGAAGCAGGGAAGGGATAAGTGTGGAGTGTTAATTGTTATTTACCCAACAATTGGTATGAGCATGAAATAGAGAATAAGTATTAAGATAAACCTAAAACAACTAAAAGTAACATACAAATTTATTATTTCACAATTATCCTTCTCGTAATCCCAACCATTACTATAACAAGTCAGCATTCATGTTGTATTTTTTAACATTAGCGCAGTTTTCATCACATAACAAAAAAATTTAACATCCATGTTATATCTTTTTTATTTTTCACTTAATTTTTTTTAACATTATCATTCTTAGAAATTATTTCTTTTTTGTGTGTGTATAATGTATATAATTATCAAGAAGATTACTTTTTTCTCAACTATAAAAGAAACCATGTAAGATAGGATTTACAAAGATATAAATTTTTTTTTGTGCATGACAAAGAAGAAGATGTAAAAGATAAAGAAAAGGAAACTACAGATTTTTCGCACATAAGAGTGGGAGAAGATATAAAAGAAGCAATACATATAATTACCTATTACCAAGAAGGGAGAAGACGATGATGATCTAGATAACAATCCACTTCATTAACTTTTTGCCCAAATTTTTCACGCATGAGAGCTGATTTTTTGTACCCAAAAAGAAGAACAAAGAACACAAATATAAGCTATTATCTTTTAATGTTCAATGAAGGGCAATTTTGTAAAGTTAGGTATATTTTTTATCCCAATAATCCTTAATTAAGATTTTAATATTTTATGATCCTTAATTTAGATTACTATACTTGAGGAATTCTTAATTATCATTTTCCCTTCTTTTTTTAAAGCCAGCTCACTTTTGTCTTTGTGGTTAATTGCTGGATGGTGAACCATTGGGACACAAGTTCAAATGCTAGTACAAAGAAAGTTTCTTTTTAAAATTATTAAGCTAGTATTTAAAATTTATTACCATACTCCTGAGTCCTTGGCATTTAAATCTATGAAAATAATTCTGACAAAAAAAATCTATGAAAATAATTTTACTATCTTATTTTTGGCATCAAATTATTCTTAAACATTATTATAGTATCAAGATAATCATTTTAAATAAAAAAAATCAATCTATATTTTACTTTTTTCAATTAAGATAAATTGTTAGCTAGAAATAATAATATTGTCAACAATTAATTGTTCTAATAACAACGTCACTTCTTTTTCTTAAAAGAAATTTTAGGTTCGAACCTAGTATTTATGTATTTATGTATTTATGTGGGTGCATGTGTCTCTCTTTTTTATGAAAAAGAGTTTGGTTAGGGCTAAAATTAAAAAAAAAAAAGCCAGAAGTAATGTCTCGCACGAGTATTGACTGATGATAAGGGTTCAGTTTATTTAGGCGTTTTATAATAATATCATTTTTGTGTGGAAGACTAATTTTAATTTTAATGTATAAATGCCCACAAAAGAGTATCCTTGTTAAAAATATACACAAAAAAAAAGTCAATGACCAGTGAAACTACCGTCAGAGACCAATCATAATAATAGTTATTAATATTTCAATCTAGCCGAGCGGATTGCGGTCCCCCTTGTCACATTACCATGTGGCCTGGCCAGCTTAGAAAAAATGAGTCACTGGTAAAAAAAAAAAGCAAATGCTAATAAAAATAAGACAGCTATCCCACACCACAATTTAAACAAAAAAGAATCAAAATCTGTTTGTCAAATAAATCTGGCCAGCAGCCACTGAGCTCACCGGTGGACTGACACATGGCTTCGGCTTTCTGCTTGATTGGTGAATCCACATTTCCTTTTCCCAGTGCAGATTGATTGGTGAATCCACATTTCCTTTTCCCAGTGCAGATATTATTATTTTTGCTCCCAACTCACCTCCACCTCCATCTCCACTTTAATTTCAGCGTATGCCGTTCTTGTGTAGTGCTGCTTCCTTTTCTAATTCATGCCCTTCCTCTCCTTTCTCCCCAAATCCTAATCTTTTGCTTAACCTCACAACCGCTTTTTAGGAGAAAGCCCAGTTTTTTATCTTCGAGTTTTCTCATTTGAGAGGACACTCGTATTAACTCTGTTTTCTTCCACGCTAGCTGTAACAATGGCTTCTACCCTGTCTTTCAGCTCTCTTAATCCCTCAACGACATCTTTCTCAAGAGCCAACTTCTCAATTCCTACTTATAAAGAATTTTCATTGGATACTCTACCCTTTGGGAGCAGAACTATTAAACGTACGAAGAAACTGCTGCCGGTTACAGCTGCAGTGGTAGAAGCACCACCTGCTAATTCACCGTCAACACAAACTGTGACTGAAAATCATGGGAATCGAACTCCTCGAAAGAAGATTCGTGTACTCGTGGCAGGTGGTGGGATCGGTGGTTTAGTTTTTGCTCTAGCTGCAAAGAGAAGAGGGTTTGAAGTTTTGGTGTTTGAGAAGGATATAAGTGCTATAAGGGGGGAGGGACAGTACAGGGGTCCAATTCAGATACAGAGTAATGCATTAGCTGCTTTGGAAGCTATAGATTCGGAGGTTGCTGAAGAAGTTATGAGGGTCGGTTGTATAACGGGTGATAGAATCAATGGACTCGTGGACGGAGTTTCTGGTTCTTGGTAAGCTTTCATGCTCGTGCTCTTTTTACACATTCTATTTACTATTTGAGCTCAAGAAACTTGTTATTTATTTCTAGACGGAAGGTGTAAGACTTTGTACCAAGTTTACGGGCTACTAAAGACTGGCATGGTTGATGGTTCTGTAGTCCATGCAACTCACCGTTTTCACAGACCATGTTGCATGTGTATCCATCTTCGGTAACCTTAGGAACTGACGATGTATGTAATTTGGCATTTAATTTCATGGCCGGTTGGCGAGGATGACCAGCTTGATAATAGCGCTGTGTTTAGAAGCTTACAGAAGTTAAACTTCAAAGACCACAGATTTAATTATTCGCGGCACCTCTGGAACATGACATCTGATACTTTATAGCTCTTACTCCAAGCCTTTTTTTTTTTTTTTAATGAATACTTTAGGCCTTTTTAACATCCTTTTTGCCAAGACTTATCTGATTGATAGCCGAATTATTTAATCTGATAGAAACTTGTAGAAACAGATACAGTTAAACTACACATTAGTTCTTGCATAAAAGCTGAAGGAGAATGTAACGTTAGTCATTGTCTTTTTCTGCAAGAAGAGTGTTCCCTTAATTATTGTCATTGTGTTTTTTCCCCTTTTTGTTGAAGTCTTTCTTTTCTTAATTCTTAGATCACTTATGTCCTCTGTAGAGTATGTTTGTGAAATTTAAGCTTGCTGTCCGTTCAATTGATGTATAATTGGTTATCAGGTACATCAAGTTTGATACATTCACTCCTGCAGCAGAACGTGGGCTTCCAGTCACAAGAGTTATAAGTCGAATGACTTTACAAGACATACTTGCCCATGCTGTGGGAGAAGATGCCATCATGAATTCTAGTAATGTTGTTGATTTTGTGGATGACGGAAGCAAGGTAATCAAGGAATGCTCTTGCATTGAAGATACTACTCACAGTGTTAATATATGTATTTGTTTACTTTTTATTTCTTTATTCTGGAATTTGCGTTACAAGATCAATGTAGGAACATATAATTTGGATGACATTTATTGCTTTGTTGTACTCTTCTGGAATTCCACATTTTCAGGTAACAGTAGAGCTTGAGAATGGTCAGAAATATGATGGTGATCTGTTGGTTGGAGCAGATGGTATATGGTCCAAGGTCGTCTTCAATCTCCTTTAGGCTGACTTTTTTTTCATAAGCAAATTATTTACTCAACACAAGATGCTTATGGATTTATGGAAATTTTTTTTATAAGAAAAAGTTGGTCTGATCCTGCATGTGCATGTGGTGGTAGCCTTGTTCTGTAAGCATTTAGAAGTGCTGAACAGTTCCTGCTTCTTTGTTGGCAGTCTATATGGTCATAACTTCTCCCAGTTTATTTAATTTAACCAAGTATTGGGACTTGTATGAATAGGTGAGGAAAAAGTTATTTGGGCCAACAGAAGCAGTTTACTCTGGCTATACTTGTTACACTGGCATCGCAGATTTTATTCCTGCTGACATTGAATCTGTTGGGTAGGTTAGCTTGTATTTTTATTTTTCTATTTGTTTGTTAATATTGCTTGCATCATATTGAGAATCTTTGTTGAACTTCTATCATGGAAGGTACCGAGTATTCTTGGGACACAAACAGTACTTTGTATCTTCAGATGTTGGCGGGGGGAAGATGCAATGGTATGCATTTCACAAAGAACCACCTGGTGGTGCTGATAGCTCCCATGGTATGTTCTTTTCATATACTTCTGATTTGATTGCTCCTGAATGCTTGGTCTCTGGAGATGTCAAATTTTCTTTGTCATTCATTCATAGATGCGCTGTATGAATAGTAGCTAGAAAAAGTGACATGTGAGGATTATGAATGGAGAATGAGAAAAATAGAAAAGCAGGAGTTTCTTGTGGCATAATTAATTCCGAGCTAATTATGCAAGCTTAACACAACATTTATTTGAGATTATATGATCAATACATTTTTGTTGAAATACAAGGACACGCCTCAATGCCATAACCCAAGCCCATTCTCTGTTCGACTCTCCTTTTGCTTCTTTGGTTAGTTGTTACTTTATCTTACCCTACGTTACCTTAGAATAATTGCTCTCGTGTTGGAAGAACTGATATTGGGCAGGCTTCTTAAATTGTTTACTGGAAATTATATTTTTCTCCCTTTTCTTCAAAAAAATTTAAATCTTGATATAATTCTTATATCTTGTGCATGGCAGGAAAAAAGGAAAGGCTCCTTCGTATATTTCAGGGCTGGTGTGATAATGTAATAGATCTATTACTTGCCACAGACGAAGAGGCAATTCTGCGACGAGACATATATGATAGGACACCAATATTCACATGGGGAAAGGGTCGTGTGACCTTGCTTGGTGATTCAGTCCATGCCATGCAACCAAATATGGGCCAAGGAGGATGCATGGCTATCGAGGTACATATTTATCTTATCTGCGGCATTCATTCCCTCTCAATGAACATGCATTTGCACTACTTAAACTGTTTTCAGCAATTTTCTGAATGTTTAGATCTAATATACATTCTCTCTAATCCCTTATAGGCCTTAGTATTTCAGATTCCCTCTCCCCCTGTTCTCTTTGCTTTTTTTAATGTAATTTTTTCTATAACCTATTCATATTCATTTTTAGTGGTATAAACTGACGCTCCAGGAATTAGAGGCTAATCCTTTCTGATTTGCATGTTTTATCATTTCAGGACAGTTATCAGCTTGCGTGGGAGTTGGATAATGCATGGGAACAATGCATAAAATCAGGGTCTCCAATTGACATTGATTCTTGCCTCAGGAGGTACTTACTGTTTGCAGTTGGCTAGTCAAATATGCAAATGAAAACTGGCGTTGACACTGAAACTGCACATTTGCACAAATATCAAATTTTGAAAATTGAGAGGGTGAAACAAACTTTTAGAGGTTCATATGAACTTCGCATTTGCTCACTTGACTTATGTCAGGGTGATGTTTGCCATGGTCCAGTAGTTAATCTTAAATTATTTCCAAATTGGTTTTTTTTTTTTTGGATAAATCATCTCTTCACTGAATTATGAGGCCTTTTATCCCTCATTTCACTTTCTTCAATGTTTTCAGCTATGAGAGAGAAAGAGTACTACGAGTTGCCATTATTCATGGAATGGCAAGAATGGCAGCTCTTATGGCTTCCACCTATAAGGCATATCTTGGTGTTGGTCTAGGCCCTTTAGAGGTAAGAAGTCAGTTACACCTAACGGGAAGATGAAAAGAAGGAGGTGATGGTTACTCTGGATACTGGCATGATGCCTAGGAATTCTTAACTTTTTCCTTCCTCTTCAGTTTTTGACCAAGTTTCGAATACCACATCCTGGAAGAGTTGGAGGGAGGCTTTTAATTGACAAGGTTATGCCTTTAATGTTAAGTTGGGTCTTAGGTGGCAATAGGTAAGAATTAAGAACCATCTTTCCTTTTTTGTTGATTGTCCTGGAGGTATCATGTCATGCTCCAGCTCTCTCTTGCAACATGCATTTAAAAAATGAGTCAAAAGGTCGCAAAAAAAAAGGATGAGATGCTCAAGATTGAAATATTAGTGAATTACTTTTTCAGGTTTTGCTTGATGAAATTCATCCACAAAAAACTACTTAATGTCTTGCACAGTCAAACTTCTATATCCGTTTTGGCTTTCCTAAAGTCAAGGTTTTTGGGGTGGCACATTTTCTTGCATAACTAAAAAACATGCAACATGATCCTACTTTTGCAGCTCCAAACTTGAAGGGAGACCCATATGTTGCAGACTCTCAGACAAAGTATGTCCATTCAATACTTTTACCCTTTCTTGATGTAGAGCTATGGTGGCTGGTTTTGTTACATGGTCGTGTCTGTTTGATCTTGCTTTGATCTCGAATCTCATAGGTATTTAATTATTTATGAAGGCTAATGACCAGTTACCCAAATGGTTTCAAGATGATGATGCACTTGAGCGTGCTATTAATGGAGAGTATGTCTTTGGCCCAATATAATCCTTTAATTAAAACAGATGGCTTGATGATATTATAACCTTTTCTTAAATTAAAACAGATGGCATAACTGTCGTGTCCATTCTTCTTGCTTGTATTGTAGGTGGATTTTACTACCATGTGGGGATGAAGCGGGGCTTTTGAAGCCTATTTCATTAAATCAAGATGAGAAGAAACCCTGCATAATTGGGTATGGCTACGATCACACCCGCTCGGCATAATTGAAATATTACCCCTTCTTCATTTGGATAATGCATGAGAACGATGTTGAGGAATATATAGAAAACATTGTTGCGAAAGCATTTAACTTGCATGTTGAAAATTTTGTACCCTTTGGATTTTAAATGGTTCTGTTAAACATGGAATGCCTTTAATGATTTATTGTTTTCTCATATACCATATAAAATATTAGACTAAATTACCCTAGCCGCACCTCAGGTTTGGCTAAACTATATATGATACCTATCGTGTTTTTAAAATTACAACCGGCTTTCTTCACATTTTGATATATATTGCATAAATTTGCTCTCAGTTAAATAATTAGTTAATTTTTTGAACATTAAACTATGATTTTGCTTTCAACATTATGGTGAAGACAGCTAAATGGATGTTAATCTCTGATATGGGGCTCTGATTTAATTATTAATTTGAAGTCATTGTAAATTACTTTCAAGTATTATCTTATGGACATTTAGGGCTTGTTTGGTATGCAACACTGGCTAAGTTGGACTGGGTTTGGGATTGAGTAATGCCAAACTTTTATGTTTGGTAGGTGATAATGACAAATTTATTCTCAAACCCAATCCCATCTTGGTGGAAATACCTAATACCACCTCCCCTCTGGTATTGCAATTTCAATCCTGGGATTGAAATTTTCATGACTGAAATGCCTTCATCAAAAACTTGCCCAGGCAGTCAGCTTACTCCTCTATCATCGCACACGGATCTCCTCCATCATTCTTGACGTTGCACACTCCATTGAAGATGACTTTGGCAATGCAAGGATGGCTATCATCACATGATAGGGACGGAACAGGAGCAGGGGAAGATAAAGATGAAGCTACTGTCTACCATCTGATTCTGGGTTTCTCATTCATGGGTTTTAGATCTGGGTTTCTGATTTATGGTTTGACAAGGATAGAACAGGAGTAAGCAAAGACAGAGACAGAGCCACCCTCCACCAATGATGTCGACATAGGTGCGAATAGGAGCAAAGATGGCAGAGGTTGAGCGACTCCTTGCCATCTGTCGGTGCCGATGAAGCTTCCAAGAGAGAGGATGATAATGGAGGAAGATGAGGGCAATATTGTCTTGTAGCTATTTTTTTGGGTTAAACTTGAGTCTTTTTTTTTAATCCCATGTTATACCAGACATGATTTTAAAACTTATTTCTAAACCCAGTTCCAATCCCAATCTCAGTCCTAATCCCAATCCTAATCCCATAAAATTCAATACCTTATACCAAACAGGGCCTTAAAGTTTTAAGCTCTGTAATTTCCTGACAATGATATTTTGATTTGCAGGAACACCCCGGGAGAGGACCATCTAAGCAGTTCAATTGTAATACCTTCACCACAGGTAACACAAGTGATCATGTACCAAGTTAAACGTAGTTATACATTGAATGGTCATCCATATCATGCAGCGGTGTTTCTATTTTGAAGGTTTCTGAAACACATGCTCGAATTAACTGCAAGGATGGCGCCTTCTTCCTGACTGATTTGCGCAGTCAACATGGCACCTGGATAACTGAGTAAGTAAAATAAAGCGAGGGTTATAACCTGTCTTTTCAAAATTTGAAATCCTCGTTGTGTATATCTAAGTTCATTCTCATTATTTTTGCAGCAATGAAGGAAGGCGGTATCGAGTGCCTCCAAATTATCCTGCTCGTGTACGCCCATCTGATGTTATCGAATTTGGCTCTGATAAGGTGGTAGACAATTTCCATACTATGGCTTTTTTTATATTTTTAACTAAATTCTACAGTATAGCTAAAAAGTGCATAGTTGTTGGCAAGTAAAGTTTCCTTCTATTTCTTCTATGTACATAGAGGGTTTTTGCCTGGTAAATTTTCAAATTTATGGATTCTAAAACAAAGGAAGGCAAATGTAGTTTTGATAAATCTCAACGGAAATTAGTGTATTTTAGTCCAAGGAAAAAGAAAATCTCTATTTGAATGATACCTCAAGTTGGTCCATGTTATATGATCTGGCTCCAATAGTCGATTTGTATGATTGCAAATATATTTCATTAGAGTTCTGGGCCGGTAACATTGCTTGGCGTTCTTTTTCATTCATTTCAGCATATAAACGTCAATATATTATTCTCTCACCTAGAATAACCTTACTAGGAAATGTGATTCTTAAAGTTTAAAGGGTGGGTTATTTATATTTTATGATGATGTCTGAACCTATCCAAGTCCATTGCAGGCTGCATTTCGTGTGAAGGTGACGAGGTCTGCTGCAGGATATTCTGATGAAGGAGTAAAGATTTTACAGGAACGATGACCCTGATCCTGGACAGTAAAAAAATATTTTGGGTTACACAAAAAATGTACAGCACAAATTTGGAACTAGAAAGCCAGAACCTGCGATTTTTTCAGGTGAGGGTCAATACAAGAAGAATGGCAGCGATTGGTATCGAAATAACATCACACGAACTTGTGATTGTATCATAGAAATTGCACTTTCATGCATGTTAATATAAGAAAGCAAATTGAGTAGCCTCGTCTCTCTTTTGGATGTGCACTTAGATGTCTTTAATGCTCATCTGTGAAAGAACGCGTGGTGCCGACGTTGTGGGCTTGGGCTGAGAATGGGTCCTCGAATCATTTGAACCGAATCACGTCCAGTCAGCATCACATGCATATCTGATATAAATGGGGAGGAGGGCCTCTCCATTTCCTTCTTTTCATTTCCCTACACTCAGTCCATCTCAACCAGTCGTTAACTTTATAATTTAAAAAAAAAATTATTTAATAAAATAATGAGTGGTTGAGAGGGGGAATGTGAAGGGAAATGGAAAGAAAGAAATGGAGAGGCCCTTCTTTCCATTTATAATTAATAAATGGTTGATATAGAGAAGTGGAGGGAAATGAAGGGACTCCTTTTTCATATAAATGTGCATTACGTGAGATTCATGTGTATCATGCACTGGAGATTACATTAAGAGTTGTATATATAGGATGTACTGTACACTTTTGCTGCATGAATAAAACAGATGCCCTCACCAAAATCTTTAATCTACTACTTTCAGTAATCTGATTCTAGTGGCAAGGAGGGATGTGGATGGTGTTAAAGGGGAGGGAAGCTGGTTTGGCAATCCATTTGAAAATGATTGCTTTTATGGATGGTAGATGAAATGAGCTTTGACAACTAAGGCTTGTTTAGTGGTGGCGCTATGACTAGCAGTGGTGGTTAGTGATGGTCAGCATGAGTTTTGTTTAGTAGTGATTGGTGGTGTAATGATCACTGGCCGTGGTCAATAGTGGCAGCTAATAATAATGGATGACAGTCAATGATGGTAACTTGTAATGAAAATTGATGATTATATAATTGATTAGTGATTGGGGATGGAAGTCGGTGATGACGGATGAAAAATGGGTGACAACAATAGGCGCTGACGAGGGTAGCTTTTAGTAATTAAATGTATTTCTTTTAAGTAAAATGTCCTGTAAAAAAACATAAATGAGAATAGTTTTGAAAATATTTAATACAAAACACCTGCCAAATGAATTTTTTTACTTTTTTTATTTTTTTATAAAAAAGTCCCTAAGTCACTGAACAACTTAATTTTCTATTTCATCATTACAAGGATGACTTCTTTAGATTATGCTCTTGGAGAACATACCACTATATCAGAATACCGACGGTAGAGGGAGCATACTGTATGGTCAGCGAGCGTGAAACCACCGTCTTGGGCCGCCACAGGAGCCCACTCATTCACGCCATAGGGGAGATGGGGTGGGTGTCAGGTCGTGGCACGTGAGGTGGCAGTGAGTTTTTTGAGGGCCCATCTAGCAATTTGAAATTTTCAACTCTGCCGGCTATACTTAATGCAATTCTTGTTCGGCTCCCAAATTGCTCATTTCTGGACAGTGACCCAGATTCCATGCATCCTCTCAGGCCCAACTCCATCTTATAATCTTTCTCGGGGCTGCATTGTCCGCGAATTGAGTGGCCATTTTGAACCTTGCTCACAGAAAGTGCAAACCAAATCAAACGTTCTAGTTTTGGCGTACGCGCTAGATGCTGCCTATCAATGTTTACAAAACGATGCAGACAAGAAGCAAACCCCAAGTACAACTAGTGTTGGATGGCTCATTCAGGCTCAACGGAGTGAACCAACAGGCAATTTGAAGCCTCGCACGGAAATTAGAGGGGGCCCAATCACGCGGTCCCTCTCAACTCTCCTGCTCTGGCCAGGCTTCTTCCCCATCCCAAATCCAGAGACCCCATTAAACAAAAGAAAATCTTGCTGTCATCGTTCTGTCCCTTCAACTCTGACGGCGTGGCAAGGTTCCGTCTCTTCGCTGCCGGCGATCCCATTCATGCATGCACCCCCTTTTCCAAATTCCAAGGACCCTGTGTCTGTCTGTATATACGTTTATTGTATTCGCTCCACACTTACCTCTGCCTTACAACTAGCTTCTTAAAAGATGATACTCCTCTCCTGCTCCTCATTTTCACTTACATTCATGTTCTGAGACCGCGGGTGCAAACTCTGGAGGAAATCAAATCATGTCTAACTCGTCATCCCCCTGCTTTCCAAAAAAACGGATCGGATCACTGAGAACGCTTGTAGCGAATGTTTCCACACACGCGCCGTCCTTTCTATTAAAAGGATACACGCACGTGCACCGCTCCTTCCTTCGCCACCAAAATTACTCATTGCCCAAATCTCCTACTCTAAAACTAATTGCCCCCTCATAATCAATCCGTTCTCGTTTATAAAAAAAAATTATATCAATACATTATATATTAAATATGTTTTACCATTTTATTTTTTTAAAACAGAAATATAAATTTTTAATATGCTATTCATTTAATATTCTAATAGGAAAGAATATATAGGAAGATAAAAAAAACATTATTAATAAAACATTATTTTTGTCAAAGTGTGTATAGTTTAGTTTGGACACTAAACCTATTGGGATAAACTCATGAAAATAATGAGACTGTAAGGTTAATATTTCGCCTCGAGTATAAATGTAATAATTGATTAATTGAATTATTTTCATTTACTCATTAATTATATAACTTCTCTATTTTTACATCTACAAATGATGAATGGTTGAGCACGTAATTCCCAATCCTTCCTTCTATTTGGGGCACCTTATTTCATAGGACAACGCGCGTTTCCCAAAATGTTTTACCCCGAGAGAAGGGAATGCAAGCCCGAGGCCTCTTTAGCCTTAACACCATAGTATATTATTTTATCTATAGACTATATAGTATTCGTACGTTTTAACAAAAATTTGTTCACCGACTGTCATGACCGGGAAACTGATTCGACTAGTTTACCGATTTTCTCGACTAGCTGAGGCGACAGCTTCTTAGCACGTTTCCGTTCCTTCTCCGGTCGAAAATCGAATCCTAGAGCGTCCGATACCTCTTCGGAGCTCCACCCCGCTTTCCGAAGTGAGTCCGAATACCTGTCCGCTTTCAGCAGCAGAGCATCCAGCACCGCTTGATTATCTAACAACACCATGTCTCCTTGGAAGAGTCCCGATGCCGATACCTCCACCATTTCAGTTATATCCGATTCGCACCACCCGCCTTCTCTCAGGACTGACCCTATTTTCCCTATGTACTCCTCCACCCATTTGGGCATTTTGGAGCGGGGCGTGTCCAAAAACCTGTCCGGTGAAGACGATGTCGACGACGACGAGTTTCTCCTCCGGCTATCGATGGCTGCGTCGCTCCAAAACTCCACCCACCTCGGCGTTCTGCCTCCGCTAACGATTCCCATATCCAGGCTTCTCCGCGATAAATTGTTGGACGATCCGGCAGACCTCTCGCCAACAGACCTCTGTTTTTTCAGCATATGAGGACTGGATTCCGAACTCCTGAATAGGGACTCGCGCTCGAAAAAATCCGAGAGATCCAAACCGCAGCGGAAGATGCTATTCTCGTCCACGAAAAACATTGGGTTGCCTGCTAGGGTGGGGTTACAGGGAATGTAGCAGTGGTTGAAGACGGGTATCAAAAGAGGGGCTCTCTTCAGCGCATTTCTAGCGACCTGCAATGCCTTTTCAGGCTCGGATGGTCTGGGGCCCCATGTCTTGGACCAGAGAGTGTTTCTGGCAATCTGAAAAGAAATCGCGGCGATTGGGAGGTCCAGCGTAGCACGGAGGTGGAGACGAGCTCCGGCTGAGCGCCAGTCAGGGAAACCGGGACCGACAGGGAGGCCGGCGGCGAGAACAGCACGAAGGTCTGGAGGAAATACAAACCCAAATTCAGCCTCGGCACGAGCAAACTCTGCGTCAGAGAGACCTCGTTGCACCGGTATGCCTGAGTTGCGGAGGTGGGTTATGACTTTGTCGGCTAGAGAAGAGAACGAGAGAAGACCATTACGCACGGGAAGGGAGGAGGCGGTTGTGGCAGAAACGGAAGCCGCTCGAGCGGAAAGGCGCCGGAGACCGGCAATGTGAGCCGGGTTTAGACCGGCCATCCTCCGGTCCACGTCCACCATTGTTGTGCTGCTTGAACCTATATGTTTCCTTCAATAGACCTGTGCCCCGTAACCTCTCTGCGGTGCCCGAAAGATGCTCTTGAGGCTCTTTCTTCTTTTGAATTTTAGAACGAAGACAGAAAGGGAGAAGGAAGGATGTGATATGGACCGAGAAAGTTGAAATTTGTGAGTCTGCTCTGGGGAGAGAGGAGTTCGGCATTGAAATGAAGCTGGAAGATTTATAGCAGGCAAACATTGGAGCCCACTGACGGGACTTTCTCATTTCCCACATTACCCCTTCCTTTTGTGACAATGACCAAAGAAGGAAAAGCCAGAAAGAAAAAACAAGTGTTGGTGTCCCCGTAACAGTCACTAGTTAATAGAACCGTGATCCTCAATCAATCCGTCATATAAGGATGAGCAACGGCTCTTTCTCATTCAAGAATCAATCCTAAACGGTGAGTATTTTTCTTTTTCTTTTTTTCTTCTTTTTTTAAAATGAAAAAAATACAGAGGTGGAGCTGGAATTTTGTAGCCGTTGACCATAAATTTCCTTAGACGTGGCAGGTTACCGTACGCTTTGGCAAGAGGAAAAAATAAGCCCAGGACAAGGGAAAACCAAAATTTCAGTTCCTAGACTGAGATAGAATTAAGGAAATTCATATAATTTTATAGAGATTTGTTTTTAATTCATATAATTTTGTTTAATATTTTTAATCTCTATATTTTTAAAAAAATTAAGTAATTTTTATTTTTCAGGTCCCTATAATTTTTTTCAATGTTTTAGTATAAATAATAAAAACATTAAAAAAAGACTATAAAAACTAAAAGTAAAATTCGATAAAATTATAGAAATTAAAAATTATATTTTTTAAAATTAATTTAAATGATAAAAAATTAAATTAGTTTGTGTTTAAATATTAAAAATGATGATCAAATTAATAATTGAAGTTACTTCATGGATTAAGATTAGCTGATTGAATAAGTTTTCTCATTTTTGTAGGAATTAACAAGTCAAGTAAATAATTTATAAATAATATTAAAAATTTAATAAGTAAAGTTGCGATGTTAACAATCAATGTTACTTCACAAGTCTAGATAAATTAATTGAATAAATCAAGGATTGTCAAGTCAAGTTAAGTGGTTTATAAGTAAAGTTAAAAAATTAATAACTAATATTGTTTCATAAGTTTAGATAAATTGCTTAAACAAGTAACTTATGAAACAGCTTTCATTGTCAATTTTTCAATTTTAATTATTAATTTTTCAACATGATGTAACATCTCAAAAATTAACATAAGGTTAATTAAGTTAATTTAGAGCAAATGAGTAATTTTAAAGGAATATTTAAATATAAATAATTTTAATTAAGAGATTATTATTGAATTTAATTTAGTATAAATTTAAATTTTAAGTTATATTTTTTTAGAAAATAAAATTATTGTTATTATTATTAAAAGAGAAATGGGATATGAAATAAAAAGAAGAAGAAGGAGAGAAATAGATGGGAAAGATGTTGGTGTGTGTGTGTTTAATGTGTACATATATAAAACAAAAAAGAAGGGAACAGCAATGCAGTGCAGGCGTGTGTGTGTGTGAGTTTTATATTTTATATATATATATATATATACAGAGAGAGGAAGAAAGAGGTAGTGGGATCCACACTATTTTTCAAAAGGCCAACAAAGCTTTTGGCTTTTCATTCTTTTCTTTTTTTTCGTTTATGCATCACGTATAGAGAGTGAGTGACACTAATGACGAGAGCTGATTTAAAAGGTAAGGTTTTATAATAAAATATTTTAAAATTAGATAAGTATTTAAATATTTTTTTAATCATTTTTTATTTTAAAATTACAGATTTTGAGATTTTAAAAAACTTAAAATTTGAAAGAGGAATAAATTTTTGATGAGTAAATCTAATTATTAAAGTTGTTAGTAGTGTAATAAATATTCTAGAGTATTATTTTGTTGATAGGATTGAAATTTGAGGCCTTTAAGTTTATTCATAGATCTCTATAGATAGATTTTTGATTAAAGTTAAAAATATAAATTGATTTATTAATATTTAGATTATTATTTGAGATGAAAAATAAATTATCATAGTTATAGAATAATGATTCTAGACTTAAAATCAAGTTTATAATTTTTGAGTATTTTTATGTACGAATTTTTGAAATAAAAAAAAATTTTGATATTAGAAAGTTATTTGAATGATGTTTTTAGCCAAACTTCAATAAAATTATTGTGAAAGGGACTATTGAACCAAGTAGATAGGTTCAAATGTATGAAATTAAATTTTAAAACTCAAGAGGTTAAGAGTAATGTCTTCAAAAATGAAATGAAATAAAATAAATACTTAGGTGTTAGAGTTTGAGTGAAAATTATGTTAATAATATTATTAACATATTGGGATATGATCAATTATAGATTAATTTTCTCTTGATACCATTCAAGCTTTGAAAAGTTTTAAAAGTGTTGTAACTTGAGGAATAACCTTTGAACTCTCAAAGGTTGAGGTAACGGAGAAAATTTATTTTATGTATTTGTATGTTAATTAATTAATTATGTTGGTGAAATAATAGAATATATATATATATATATATCTAAATTTTAAAATGGTTGTTTGTAACGCATGTGGCTTTGTTGAGATTCTATAATTTGTAATCAAGTTAATTGTGACTTGGTGTGAGTAATGAGATTAATGGTTGATGATGATAGGTACATCCTTGATTATAAACTGTAGATAATGCATAGTGATGAATTATATATAAGCATGTTGAGTTTTATATGATGCTAATGTGATTTTATGTGATAATATAAAAATTGATGCAAGAGGCATGATTGAAATATGATGATTTTTGATATTTGTTAAGTGAAAAAGTTGATGAACATGTAAGGTAATTGTGAATTATATATATGAATTTTTGAAATGCATTTTCTCATAAGCATAATCATATGACGGGAGTTCGCCTTAGTAAAGGAGTTAACGGTTATGCAAAATTCATATGTTACTTAGCTGTTAACTAATAATCTTAGAGGTTATATCCACTACTTACCTTATAAGGCACTGTAGCATTGTTCCTACTAAGGGACTTGATTTTATTGGCCTACGTGGAGTTTTGGTTAGAGCTAGTTTTGGGTATGACACCTCATAATGTGTGATTTGGGTGAAAACATGTTCATAAGTGAGTAAGGTAACTTTAGCTCGATAGCCCCTCAGAATATGATTAAGGCCTTGGGTAGTTTCACCACATGGACAATCCCTTCTAGTTATTGGCCCATGGATTTCATGTCATAGGAAATAACGGGAATATAAAGGAGAGATTGATCATGCATATTATTATTATCATGTTATTTGAGTGATTGATGACTATGTTGAGAATAAAATTATAATTGTAGAAATGAAAATATATAGTAATTATGCGAATAACGTATATGTGGCCATTTGTGTAAATTTTAAACCTGACTTTATTTTTGAGATTATTTACATGAATTAGATGTTAATGTGATTAACATGTTATTAATGTGATTGTTTACATGGTCACCTTGATAAATTTATTAGCCACTTGCATTCATAATTAATTATCATACATTTGTATAAATTAGATGTACCTTGGTTATTGAGTAGTTATACTCACCCCTCTCTTTTGACATATTATAGGAGTTAGCTCATCTCAAAGAATAGAAAAAGGGAGCATTAGGTCAAGTGATAGTAATCGCTTTTGTAGGCCTTTTTCTTTTTATTTTGATACGTGTATTTAACTTATGATATTGTCAATTAGGATAATATATTCTTAATCCACTTACATTATGGGTTTTGTGTTGGGGAAATGTATTTTGGGCTCTTGAGAATATAGTTTGATACTTGTGCTATATTAACGGGTCAAAATATTTGTGTAAGTAAAAATAGTTAATATCTGTTTAAATTGAGAACTTGAATGCTGTTATGATCTCCCTTTGTATTTTTTATATCTAAGGGTGAGCAGTTGATATTAATTATATGTGAATGAAAAAAAATCATGCATATGATTGGCTATTGATGAATAAATGATACATAGAGTATGATGACTAGGTAATATTCATTGTGATAAATGTAATTGAGACCTTGGCCCCCCATTGCTAATTATGGAAGGGTTTGAATGACTAAATATTATATTGTAAATATGTATGTATGTATTGTGGAGTAAGGCATAGAGAGAAAATAAAGGGGGAAGCTTTTCTCCCATGTTGACGTGTTTCCTTTATCATGCTTTCACATATATCTAATTAAATGATATGAGTTCTTGAAATATTTTAAAGACTTGGGATCCCTTTGTATTGAATCATTTGTGAAAATAAATGTTAAGAATCTATTTAGGTTAATCTCTTATAGGATAATTCTTTTGGGTTAGTCCTTGACTTATTATAGTTAGTCTGATAATTAAATCCTAATTTAGGACATTTTTTACATACGACATGTACATCTAATTGCTATTTTTTAAATGTTTGAACATAGAATATTTTTGTCCTTTCATTATTTAAATTAATTTTATTTTAGTCCTCCTAAACTAAATTAAAATTTTAATTTTTAATAGACCATCTCTACTCCTTTGCCCGAACTCTCCCTTATAAAAATGAAATATAATAAGAAAAAATATTATAGATGAAATAATTCATCTACTTATACAATGATTCAAATTTAATCACCTTGCATTTTCTATATAAAAAATTTAAAATTGAAGCCTATAATTGTAACTAATATATCAATAAATATATTTAGAGATAATGAAACTTGTAGTCTTTTAAATTTATTTTAGTTATTAATTTGGCCTCTCAAATTTAATTTTTATTAATTTGGTTCTTTGCATTTTCATGAATTATCATATTAGCCCCTTAAGTTTTAAAACTTAAATTTATTCTCAAATTAATCTAATGCATAAAATATTTTGATGATTTGGCATGTTAGTGGCTAAATAAGAACAAATTAACCCTCAAATATGTTTAATTTTTATTAATCTAGTTCCTCATGCTGCATTTTGTTCCTTTAATTTTTAAAAAATTATGAGCTATTTTTTAATTTTTATCTAAACAATTACACTTCTTTTTATCAATTAACATGGCTGCCATCAATATTTCATTATCAATGTCAATGTATTTCAATAGTGTTACTTCTTATTTAAATAATAAGGACTAAATTGATATTTGAAACAAATATACCAAATCAATAAAAATTAATCAAGAGGGTTCA